AGGGGTCGTTTGAAGCTCTGGATCCACTTGTCGACGTCCCCCTCTCCTGATCCCTTTAGTCGGGCTTTGTGATCGTTCAGGGCTTCGGCAGGAACACTGTCGATCTTACGCTTGAGGTCACTCTCCCAAGTCTTCGGTGGTGTCCCGGATTGTAGACACGGAGCACTAGGTTGCGAGGCAACCGGGAGCTGTGTTTTCAAAGCGGGTTTCGTGGGGGTAACGGGAAGTCCTGCGGCTTGTAACTGTTCACGACGGCGATTGAGCTCTTCCGAAACTTGAAGAAACTTCTGAGATTGGTCGACGCCTGCAGGCACCGGCATGTTGTCAAACATGAGCTGAACGATCTTGTCAACCAGCGGCTGAAACAGAGCTGCACAATCCGTGTTCTTGTTGGGAATGATTGTAGATGGATTAGCAGCCTGAAAGAGTTGCGTAGCAACTGCATCGATGTCAACTTTGCGATCTCGAAGGTTCTTCGTCACTTGCGACATGAACACTGCTTCAGCAACCGTAGCAACTGGTACAACACTGAAAAACTTGCCATGACTCAATGCTCGAAGACGCCAATCTGAAACTCCATGAAACAGGAATTCCTGAACAGGAATGCTGAGTGGATCTTTTCCTGCGATCCCTTTCTTTCGCGACCACGGGGTGGCTTCGATGGACTTACGAAAGGACAACCCATGAAGCACCGTTGAATCATAATGATCACGATCTGACGCCCATCCATTCGGTAGTGCAGGAACAAGACCAGGACCTTGATGAAGTGGCATGGGAGTAGACGGCGATGATGAAGGTGCCGAAGAAAGTGGAGGCGGAGGTAGGGGAGGTGGCTGACTAGCAGGGGCAGAATTGGAGAGGTTGGGATCAGTCCAACTTCCCGAGCTATACGGCTGATAGCGATGCTGACCCCACGATTGTTGGGACCTCCCGTACCCTGTGTTGGTGTCCCACTGTCCATTCCATGCCATGGTTTCAGAACTATCGACAAATCTGAGTGCACGGGATCGCTAACGACACTTCGAATCAAAAGGCTCCGTAGGCGAACAAACCTGCTCAAGTTGTTCCCAAACTGCAACACTTGCACATCGCTTGCACAACTCTTGCATCACACTTGCTCCTCTCTTGCACTTCCGACGCACACCCTTGCACTATCGCTGACACTTCACTTGCAGTACACTTGCACGTCCCTTGCAACACACTTGCACGTCCCTTGCTGGCACAGCTCGCAATCTTAACTGGCATGTTTTCGACACATGTATGCGTGCAAAGCAGTTGACAACGGAAGAGACTTGAGAACGTGGCTGGTCAAAGCAGCATGCTGCACTCAGACCCTCCAAAAAACAAGAAGCGCTTCCGGGATGAAACATGAAGAGCGAAAGACCCATCTGCCATCTTTGGCACGGGCAACGTCACGAATGTAACTGCAGGAATGGTCACCTTCAACCCCTCCCATGGGGATTCTTGAGTGGGGAGGCGTGAGGGATCCTTGACGATTAAATGCATGTCCGAAAATGCACACCGGACGCTCACTCAGAATGCCACCGTACTTGGCCGCTGCCTCTTGTGCTTGTTCTGCATCTGAAGTGTGAGCCCTAGCATAGAAGGAAATTGGTGGGGACCACTTGCTGTCACTAGCATCCCAATACGATGGTCGGATCGTTCCCTCAAGGAGGATTGATGCAGCCGCTGCCACTGTTGTGTTGTGTGCAACAGGCGAACGAGCAATCCCTGCTGCAGAAGTATGCGACCTGATCATGGTCCTCTCAAAGTGGGTGAAGTGGATGCTCAAGCACTTGCACGAACTCGACAAAGAACGAAGCTCCACAGAGTGAATGTTTGCGGCTTGGTCAGCTGCTGCAATTGCCTGAGAGACATACTTCAGTGCCGTCGAATTGACAGAGTGGGGAGGAAGACCTAACAAGCTGATCAGATAGTCCGCAGTGCTTTGCATCAAAGAGCTGGGAACCTGCAACTCAAGATTGGCCTGTATCTTTCTCGAAATCTCACATGCCGATTTCATACGGCCAGGGCTGGAACTGATCAAGTGACGTAGAGCAGTAAACATGGGGTATAATGCGACCCAATTGAAGCTAGCTGAGTACACACGTATCAGCTTCGCTTCTTCATCGCGCACTTCCAACCCACGAAGTTCAGGAATCACGAAGAAGTTTGAATCTTGCTCCCACTCAACTTCCACATGCCCTTTGAGAAGAGATCGATTCTCAAAATGCTCATACGAGTCTTGCAAGGGTTTAACTCGAAAGACGTAAGTCTGGCCCGCACTGAGCTGCCACCCTACGCGATCTGCATGAGTACCAGGAATCTGATCACAAATTGCACGAAGTCGAATGCTGTTAGGATCTGCAACGAGAGAAACTCCGCTTCCATGAACTTGCCGAAGTCGCTTTGTTGGCTGGGATGAATCATCCGTTTGGTACGTGATGGCTGACTGCTGGCTCTGACCAGATGCTGTTGACTGATTCTGTTGAGAAACAACAGACTGCTGAATGTCAAGCAAATTGTTAAGGCCAGCATACACATCTCTGTGGCCTCGGACATGTGTCAAGTTTGCCGACATGATCGCTGAGTATTCAGCAAAATCAGCCACCGAACGAAACGACAACCGGAAACCTGCGCCATCTGCATGAAGAGTGATTGCAGGGGGAGCCTCTTGCTGTGGAACATGCCGATCATTTACAGCACGTGCAGCAATCAAGGTAGGAGTTACATCTGCAGTTCCCACACCAACATTGGATGCAGAAGGGGCCGGCAAAGAAGAAGATGAAGCAGGCGCCGGGCAAACTGCAAGAGTGGGGGGTGGGGGAGGGAAGGCGGGAGGGGGAAGGGGAGGGGGGGGTGGAATCCACTTCGCTGTGGTACCACGGGAGGGGGGAGGGGCAGAAGCGGGGAGGGGAGGGGGAGGCAAAGGGGGAAGGGGGGAAGAGGAGGGTGGAGGGAGAGGTGGGGGAGGAGGGGGGGGGTTGATGTGCGGGTACTGCGTCTCTTTCCTGAAGCATCCATGGCAAACTGATCAGCAACTACCCAAAAGTACAGCTCAAGTACTCAATCTGTAGCCAAAGACCTGCGACAAGTCAGCGAAAAAGTCAGATTCGGGAAAGTCGATCTGATCATAGACAATCAGTGGGAAAGTCAGCATTCAGGTTTCGGTATAAGCATTTGGTGAAGACTCACTGAGAAAGTCAGCTTGCAAGCACGGATATAGAATCAGGGAAAGTCATCCAATGCTTATACAGTCAATCGGGAAAGTCAACGCCAGAGCTACCTCTGGGAGACACGGCGCCCGTAGGGAATGCCGTTGTGAAGCACACTTGACACATCGTGTCGCAGGTCTCGAATCACACTCTCAAAGTCAGAAGAGTCAGCTGCTTGAAGTTATTAGATCTTGTCATTTCGGCCAACTGTGAAACAACAGCGTCTTTGGGGTATTTCGGGCGGCCGTTGTGCAGGTACGTCACAGGAACGTCTTCCCGTGATATCACAAGCAAACTGGAGCGTCTTCATTGGCGCAAGACTCCAGAATGCTTCTTGCGCCCCCTGCTCAATCACGTCAGATTTACCTACCCTTCGAAACAGGGATGGACACACACACACACACACACACACACACACACACACACACACACACACACACACACACACACACACACACACACACACACACACACACACACACACACACACACACACACACACACACACACACACACACACCCAAACACACACACACACACACACACACACACACACACACACACACACACACACACACACACACACACACACACACACACACACACACACACACACACACACACACACACACACACACACACACACACACACACACACACACATTGAATACATGCATACAGGCAGACATGCACAGAAGGAGCTAATGTAAGAAATAGTATCGCCCGCCATCGTGTGAATGACGGATCGGGTTTAAGATATGAAATCACCGGTCAGCGCCGAGAGGGGTCGGGTTAAAGAAATCGCCATCGCCTAGTCGGGGTCAAGATCTGAGACCAACCATCGCCTAAAATCAACTCCTCTAGTATCGTAACGAGCACCAGAACGATAAGTACTAGCAAGCGGCGCCAACCATACCTCTGCCACCTGCCCTGGTCTGCTATCTGCTCAGTGCCAGCCAAAAAGTCCACAGGCCCCACCCCAAAGGGGGGGGGGGCGGGTGAAAGGACAAGGCAACAAGAAGACCAATCAGGCCCAGGGGACAAAGAGACCACCCACTTGACAGGCAAGCAGGGGACACCATGTGGCGGGGGGAGGATGGGGAGCAACAGCCCTGCATCATGCATGCATACATGCGTGCATGCATGCACGCCTGCAGACATGCGCTAATCAACTAATGAGCCTAAGGGAGCAAATGCAAAAAATGGTATGCCCGCCATTGCGTACATGACGGATAAGATGGTCAAGCTATCGGACCAACCATCACCTAATAGGGTTTAGGGTCAGGTTTCAGATAAGAGATCCACCTGCATACGCATGCATACATGCATATGTGTAAACATGCGTCATCTCTGATGAGCGAGTTTCAGATAGGCTATCGACCGCCATAGCGTCGATGACGGATCCGGTTTCAGATGTGAAATCTTGTGCACGTGCATGAAGACATGCATAGGCGCATGCATGCATGCGTCATCGCCTAATGGGGAGCGAATCGAAGATATGGGATATCTGGATCGGGATTCAGGATGACGTAGTGGGAGGGGGGGTCGGAGATCCACCTGCATACATACATGCATAAGTGTCGGATATGCTATCGACCGCCATCGCGTAAATGACGTATCGGGTTTAAGATATGAAATCTTGTGTGCACGCATACATGCAGACATGCATACACGCATACATGGACATTTGCATACATCCGCCATCGCCTAATGTCGCGACTCGAAGATGTGGTACTTCTCTGGGCAAAACTGCAGGTCTGAAGTTGCCTTAGACCCGTTTGGAAGGAGCGTCTGAGTTCCAGTGCAGCTCGAGACCACAGCTGGCTACAGATGGATACCTTTTCTGATGCCTCGCCGATGTCCCAGCTATGGACACGAGATGTCTGTGTCAGTGAGAAGTAGTGGGGGCTTCACTGCTGCTCAGGCAACCCGCGCACGTGGAGCTCACATTTCACCGGGCAGGGGAGGTGCAACAAGTGAGCCGCTGAGATTTGGTGGGGAAGGGGTTCTGACGAGAGGGGCCGAGCTAGAGCTCGGACGGGGATGGGAGGCTATGCGAAGCTGGAAAACTAGCTGGGTGGATGGTGGGAGACGTCCTTAAACAAGCCAGTGAAACGGCAGCGCACACTCGCCAAGGATGTGCCAGCGGCACTTTCTCGCAAGTAAGACGAGTTTGTAGTTCGAAGTTCTTGAAGTCTGTCTGAGTTGTGCCTGCATATTAATCTTCGCAAAAGGCAAGCCGTGGTCCGTAAGTTCGGCAGGATCATGGTTGTGTAGCCTGTGATAGTACTGACATTTTGGCCTTTGTGTCGAAAACGGCAAAGACAGGATATGATTAGACCTTCGGGCCTGCGTTGGTACTTTCGTGTGGCGGTGGTTTCGATCATGGACATTTTTCCCTGAGGACAGTCAACACGGTAGTATTGCTAGTCGCGGTCTTGGATTGTCAGGTTTCCCCGTCCAGCTTTGAAATGCTTTCGCCACTGTTTTCTTGATGCAAGCCTCGAGGTGGTTGTAGAGGTGTGCACTTGCGATGTCGAGCTTCACCCACCCAGCACTGAACGGCATGTCCCCGCTGTGCCCCGACCAATGTACAAGTTCGACTCGGGAAAACGATGAACAACCAATGTGCATTCTCATGTTCAGCGTTGCTGCAAACTCTGGTTGTGCGCTGAATTGTGGTTTTGTTGGCCCCTCGAGGGCATCCATGTTGGCAGCTGTAGGCAGCGCATGGAAGCCTTCTTGCATCTGGTCACAACTCAGAGATGAGATCAGTTTGAGGCTCTCGCCGAAACGAAACCGGCGTGAACTGCACTGTGGTCGCGCTGCGAAGAAAATTGAAAGATGCCGGCATGTCCCGTCACGCAGCTTGGCATCCTTGTTAGTTTTACAATGCAATTGCTGTCAGCGTTTTCTGGAGGCGAGGGTCACCCGCAATGGCAATCAACGCTTTCCTTCCTTACCGGCTTGCGTTGTGGCTCCAGCCGATCTGCACCATGTAATAGGTGCAGCCTGCGGTTTGCAGGCCAAGTGTTCAGCAGCTCTGACAGCCCCTGTAAGCCTCTGTAAGCAGCATTTCACGTTTTCTGGCCAGGCACGCGGATCATGAGCGCTGCCAAATACGATGCAGCAGCTATAGAGTGGGCAGTCGCCTCGGAGCTTGCGAATAATAGGAGTCTGTGGGCTTTCTTGTGTCATGGCTCGTCCAAGGCGCCACCAGCATGGTTCGAGTTGGATGAAGGCCCTTTGTGATTGAAATGAGAAAGTAGTGGCCCATGGCAGCAGTTCGCAACACGATATACCAAACATGCCGGCACGCCATGCTCTCAAGGGCATTCCCGGCAACGCGTAATGCCTCGCTGCATGGGGCAGTCTTTGCCTCTGCATCTGTGCCTCGGGCAGGTACCTCCAGGCGTGCACGATGCACCTCCTCGGAGCCCCTGTCCTCCTTAAAGGCCGAAGCTCCGGCATGCTGGCTTTGCCCAGACGTCGTGTCACGAAGTCACGGAGGCTCCCAGCCTTTTGCCGAGCTCTGCACCTCTGAAGTCGCCCACGCGGCAATGGAGCAGCGAAGTCGGGAGCTTGATTGAACGCGAGCACCGTGGTGGCTGTACGGTACTCTGTTATGGCCTTCGCCTTCACCCCATCGAGGCTGGAAAGCGGAACTCCAGGAGCAATCCGCTCCTGTTCCCTTTGAGCAATCCGCTTCCGAGCTGGTCTTGCATGCAAGAACAAATGAAGATTACCCGCTCCGGCCCAGTGTCACCCGAGACGGGTACTGACGGCAGAGAGTCGCAGAAGCCGTGGACCAGCGATGGATCCGAAAGCCTCCTGGCAAGATTGCAGCAGGCGTGGTCGGGGTTTGCTTTTGCAACGTGCTGTTGAAAGCATGGCTTTGTCTGCTGCAGAGAGTGGCTTTCGACCGAAGGCAGAGCAGAGTCTTGCGGAGAAGGATCAACGAATTGAAGCGCTCGAGGCCGTTTCGGAGCAGAGTCGAGAGAGTCGGAAACTGTTCGAAGACGAGCTCGGGGTCAGGCGTGCACCAAGCAGCTGGCCGAGCGACTAGCCTTGGCCGAGGGACTGGCCAGACCCAAGGCCGGCAAGTCTTTTGATGTGAAGCTTTTTGCATTGGATTCGCAGTTGAGGATTGCAAAGATCCGAGCACCCCAACCTCCACCAGGCACGAACATCTTTTCAGTACTTTGGTAACGTCTGGGTACGGCAGAGCCCTTTGGCCAAGGTCCACTTCTGATTCCACGGCCTGGTCTGGAGATCAGCCAGTATTGCCGAGGTGCAGAGCATGAGAACTCCCCTCCTTCCGCGCTCTTTTCTCGAGATTGTTTGCGCAGGAACTTCACCATGGACAGCCTTGAAAGCGACGATAGCTTTGCAATCTATGCCTAATCCTGAGCCTCAGAGATCCACGACTCTTCAGCTTGCCTCTGCAATCCTCTGCAAACTTAAGCAGGCACCACAGACATCATCTGCGGCGGCAAAGTCACCGAGAAAGCCAACAAAGCCCAGCAATGTTGTGAGAGGCACCAAGGCAGCGTGCTCCGATTGCTATGCTCCACGTCATGGTGTTCGTTTTGCCAGTGAGCAGGTGTCTGACGAGTACGCAACACAAGCAGACGTGGATGCAGTGTGCCGCAGGCCAGACTTCTTCCACACGACCGACGTAGTTCACGGACATGTCGTGCAACTGCAGGTGCGAGCAGCTTCTCAAATCAGTCACATCAGCCGTCGAAAACAATGAGCGTTTGGCGAGCAAGCGCAAGCAGCAGAAAAGCTCCGTGCCAACGCTGCGGCGTCTGAAAGGCAGTAAACAAATGACTGCCTCTTGGTAATCGTGTAATCTAGATGTCTGTGCAGAATACAGAATACCTCGTCTGGCTCTGAATTTTGGCCGTGATATCGTTCCCCTTTCACACAGCAGCTACTTCAATGTAGGCACCTGCGGCAGTTTTCAAAAAGCAGTCAGAGCCAGTATTGCGACTTGTGCTAATGCAGTAGCTTGACTGTCTGCACTCCCTTGAAGGGTGCGGGCTGCAGTCGGCGCTTGCCACTTTGCAGTGCCTAGGTGTTGGCTTAGGCTGGCAGGGGGGCTTTCTACGAACTTTCGCTGAATGGATTTTTGTTTCTCACTGGCATTCGTTGATGTTGGTAGCGAAGAAGAAAGCCCGTCTGCTGTATTTTCCCAACTAGTAGCTGTGGATGGTGAACAACATTCACTGTCACAGATGGATTTCGATCGTGTGCTCTGCAAGGGGCACCTGTAGGATGATTCGACGGCTGGCAATTCGCTGCGACACTCATTCACCTCCGTCTTGGCCCTGGCACAGTCTGCAGAGACTTGCTGGGCTAAGTGAGCGGCACTAGAGGGGGGACTCCTCGGACCATGCCTCTTGGAGTACACTCTAGACTTATACGAGGTCAAATGCAGCAATGTCCAAGATTATCTCAACCCTCTTGCCATGCACATGTGGCTTGTCAATGAGCGTGGCGTAGACCATGCAAGCCATACAATCGCTTTGGTGTTGATTCATAAACTTCCCTCTTGCAACATCAACGCCTGGAAAATTTGTCCGAGTTGCAGTCATGCCAACAACACATACTCCGATGGTGGTCATGGTCTTTTTCCACGAGTGATTGCTCTGGAAGGCACAGCTTGCCAGTGATTTTCTGCCTGTGCTCGCCGTGGTTGGGAGTCCTGTTGGGCTGGTATCTGGTGCGGATCTCGGGTTTGCTGCCACTGCTCACCTGGAACCCACGCGCCTGTTTGCAGGTCGCTCCACGGCTCTGTGCAACTCGCTGGTAGATCGTCTGAGTCAGGCACGACATGGGGCAGGGCTCCGCCGGTGCGAGTGCTGTCCTCAATGCTGCGGAGGAGCTCGGATATGCTGTCCTCAGGCCATCGGAGGCATTCGGGCAGGGCGGTCCTTCCAGCCGGCTGCAAAAGGTTTAAACATGCTGCACCAGGTGGTCAGCGAATGCATTGCGCTCTCCGAGAAGCCCCCCCAGGTCCTCTGAGGGGATGCCGCGATTTGGGGATTGCCATGCTTGCTCTGGAAGGAGCCTGATTGGCCGATTCTGGCACGGATGCGTGAACTTGGCAAAGACGCATCGCAGGGGCCGGGTGGCTCAGCATCAGATGAAGCGATGCAGCCTTGCACCTTGTGCAAGATCGAAAAATATCGCGCAGTGGTCCAGGTCCGGCGTATCGCCAGGGGTTCAAGCCGAGATGCTGTTCCGCAAGATTGAGGCCCCGCATTGCACTGCACATCACCGGTGGCGAATTGAAACAGACACAACAGCAGCAACCTCACATTTTCGTGGAGTTTTTGTCTCCCCGCCTCTCGCACCAGTTGCTCTCGGCCCCCGCGCCGAAGCCGGCTGTGGCCTCTGACCGTGGAGAGGATGGCATGGTATGCTTTGCACGGCTGTGGGGCAAAGCTGAAACTCAGGTGGAGGAGGAAGACCCGAAGAAGCCGCCCGTCTGCAGCGTCGACCCGTGCCCTCACGTTGCTTTCAGTCGAAGCCCAGGAAGCCAAAGGGGAAGGATAAGAAGGAGGAGGTGCCGGAACCTGTCAGGCGATCGCAGGGAGACAAAATGGCGAGTTGACGCGAGAGCTTTTCACTCTGTGCAGGCCAAAGGGCATCCTGGTGCTGGGGTACCCAGCGGAGCTGAGGCAGCTGGCAAGCTGGGAGGCGCAGACGGGCCGTGGTCTGTGGGCTCCTTTCGTGGCATCGCATCCGTGTGTGGAGGCGGCCCTGCGTGGCTTCACCTCCTCCCTGCTGCAGCTCATGGATTCCGAGGAGAGCCAGCAGGCGCCGGGAATTTTGTCTGTGTTCGTGCTCCGATCGTTCTGTCCTGCCTTTCGTCGGAGGCCCGGCTGGGCTCTCTGCTCGCACCCTTCTGGGTGGAGGGCGAGTCTGCAACGCCAGTGGTCAAGGCCGAGGCCAGGCGTTTGTTGCTGCAAAGGGGATTGGATGCTACGACCTCGTAGCGTTTTCCGTTTTGTATGGGCCGTGTGAGGAGCGCGAGTTGGCAAAGGCTGCAGAGAAGGCCAGACTTTGCGTTCGTTTCTGCTGGTACACTGGTTTGGCAGTTCGTAAGCTGTCCGAGGCAGACTTTGATCCTGAATTTGCTCCGCCCGTACTCGCCTTTGCTGAGACCTCGTGGCCGTTGCAGGATCGGTTGCACTGTCGCTTAGGTGCGCATCGTCCGACTGCGCTATCCCGATGAGGCTGCCGCTGAACTGTACACTGCGTGACATGCTTCGGAACAGAGTCGGGTTTGCTTTTTTGGCCTCCTTGGGAAGGAAGTCGTACAAGGCCTGTGATTCGTCTCTTGTAAAGTGCCAGCGGCCTTATCAGCATTGGCGTCACCACTTGGGCTGGGGGCCAGAGCTTCGCCCAACAGGAAAGGATGAACTCCACAGTAGCACTAACTGTGCCTCAGCAGCTCCTCGTCCTGGCTTGGAGGCAACGTTGTTGGAGGCCGTTCAGAAGGAGGCTGGGAGAGCCATTGAGTCAAGCCCTAGCAAGCCCGCAATCTGTTGGGCTGGAGTTGACGAGACTCTTCGGAACTGCAAGTCGAAACTTCAATCGCTGTGCTAGATTTCTGTGGATTTGAGCCTGAATTCATCCTGCGTGGCAACGTCGTGCAACCAGGACATGTCTGCAGAAGGGCGCGCCAATGAAGGCGAGTCGCGATTGTGCCATGGCCTGGAGGAGGTCGTCCGCTTGTGCAGTGGAGACTGCAACCTCTTGCGACCATTTGTCGCATTTCTTGACAGGAGATGGCCACGATGCAATGTGCTGCAGACCAAGCCTGGTTGTTCGAGAGTGCGCAGGTGGTTGCTGACGGAAGTGACATGTGAATTGCAGATCCCTTCCTTGCTGACTGCACTTCTTGGATGGTAGGTCTTTGCGACAAAGCTCTCTGCTCCGCTCCACAACGTTCACGATGTCCTCGTGCAGGAAAACCTGCCAAGCTTCCGTGTGCACTTTCTTCATGGTTGACAGCGAGATGTGATGGTTCCACCAGGACGGTGAAGAAGGCGACGACGTCATCCCGGCAGCAGAGGCAAGTGGCTTTGGAATAATACCATGCTGCCCACGGCGTGTGGATTCTCTGGCCTGCGCAGGCAATCTTGAAGCGTATCCGGGAGCTCGTCGCATTCTGGCACAGGCACTTCTCACCGTCTCATCAATGCCCGAAGGGCCTTTCTTTGCTTTCCCCGTTTGGTAAGGCCGATACTGGAAGTTGAAACTGCAGATGCAGATGCAAAGCCTGACGAAGCCGTCGAAGCACCCGAGGCCGAGGTTGGGCCGTGAGGTTTTGTGCTCTCTGGTGATCGAGTCTGGGTCGGCTCGGACGCCGAGGTGGAGGCCGAGACTGTGGAAGCGGACGTGGCGCCTCCAGAGGGACCTGAAGGGGATGAGACGGCCGAGCCGCCGGCTTCGGAGGACGCTGGCGACAAGGAGGCACCCATGTCGCCGACATCGTTTCCAAAGTCTTCAGATGTGGCCGCAACACTTCCTCCCCCCAAGAAGCACCAAAGTCAAGCTGTTCTCCAGATTGAAAGGCAAGGTGAACCGCTCAGTGTCACAATTTTCCTCGGATGATCGTGTCCTTCCGAAGCGAGTTGCCGCTTGGGAGCATGCTGGGATTTGTAGTGCTTGCTGCTTGCTGACAGCCCTTTTCTACTCCTCAATTTTCATCGAGGACGCAACTATTCTCGCAAAAGCAGGGTGTGCCTGCGTCGAACAGTCCGACAGTGCGCGCCTAGCTGCCGGCATGCTCCAACCACTGCCGCTGGATGTTCCTAGTTTTCGTCTCCTGCTTTGAGCAGTTGGTTCACTCGTGCTCGGCTGAGAAAGATCCCGCTTAAAAGCCAACTCTTTGTACCGTTTTCGGCTTTGCTGATTTACTCGCAGATTCCACTTGTTGCTTTACATGTTGGCCCGTCATTGAACCGGAACCTACAAACCTTGAGCAGCTGAATCGAAGCCGACCTGGCCCAGCGGTGGCCGAGATCCGGCTGACAATTTCGCAAGCCATTTTGGGCACTGGCGTGACATGCAAGCGTTCAGAGTCACATTTATGTCATTAGACGATACACTGGAAAGGCAACCAACCGAGTTGTTCCATGCACATCTTTTGGCCAAGCATCAGATCAGTGCTCTGCTGAGAAGCCATGCATGGCACGCGTTTCCCATGTTGGGTACTGGTGGAAGCAACTGCTGTTGCAAATCGTCATGCAGCATTTCAACGACCCCATCAAGAGATCTACACATGCGCGATGGCCAGACATCCTCGATAAAGACCCTCCGAGAATTGTCCTTCCGAACCTCTAGAAGCCGGTCTGGAGCCGGATGCCGTTCATGCCTTTGCCACTTTGCGATGTCGGGCTAATCCTGAGCTTAGTGTTAGTGCACTCGCCAACCCTCTCCCGCTTCGAATTTGGGCGGCTGCTCCGATTTCAGCACTGCTTCGGTCAACACGTCAGTTTTTCATCACGTGTTGCCCTTTCAAGTCATGTTCGGCCGAATCTTCCATTGGGTTGTGGGCAGGCTGGGCAGCCGACCGAGGGCAAAGATGAAGCAGAGGACTTGGAGCAGGAGGCGGGCATGCCCTCCCTTCACACAGGCACTGTTGGAAGCTTAATCACGTCGGAACAGGCAGTCAACACGCTTCTCATCAAGGACAGTCGTCAAACCAAGGAGGCCCCTGTTGAAGCTGATTGTGCCCTCTCATTTCAAGTCTCCGATGCATTTTGGAGACAGGTCTTTTGCGCCAGTCTGCTAGTCGGTGCGTGTCCCGTAACGGCAAGGCGTTCCAGAACCTTTGGCTGCAGAACATGAGTCACTACCTGCTCTGGGCTGAGAGTAGCCAGGTATCCAGAAGGGCATGCTAACGGATCATGTTCGACGTTGCCCGCCTTGTGGACTGAGGCTGGGGATCCGCGAAACTCTTCTGGAGGTGTCGGAGTGGAGCCGCTGACTGGCGCTCCTTTTCACTCTGCCGGGTTCTGGTAGTTTCCGTCTGATGTACAAGCGCACGTTCTTTTGAGGACGGCAGTTTTGGTAGCTGCGTTTTTGGGCGGATGTCATGCGGTGCACGGTACTCTGTAGTACACCTTCTCGTCCCTGGAGTTTGTGAAATTTTCAATAACGTCAGAACAGCACAGCAACAACGGCACAGTGGCGAGCAGCAGATCTGCCGCTCAGTCACATGACAGCAGCAACATACGGCTGGCACAAATAGCACAAATCAAGACATGACACAGCAGAGAGCAGCAGAGCACAATCCACGACAAGATTTGCAAAAGTACTGAAAGAACTTCGTACCAACTAACTGGTTTGGCAAGTGCCACGAAGCAAGGAACTTGCAAGGCAAAGGCAAACCCAAATGCCGACCAGATGACGGATGCATTTGGGAGTGTAGAGAGACGATGGTTGATAGAACACGAATCAAGAGAGGTGCACCAGGCATGGACTTCATCCACACTGCACCATGAAAGCAAGGATTTGGAAAGAAAGGCAAACAACGGCGCAGCAGTGCCAGAAACGCAAGAAGCCCAATCGCACATATGCATGAGCAAACCTATGTTTCTCCGACGACTGCAGCGGCGCTGCTGCTACTGCTAGTTCTGTTCCTGCTGCCAGTCGCGTTGGCACTGCTGCTGCTGATGCTGCTGCTTCTGCTGCGCCGATTGCTGCTGCCGCTGCTCATACGATGTGCCTGCCACTGCTGCCGCGGGTGCCGTGCCTGCTGCTCCTCTTCTAGCGACTGTGGCAGCTGCTGCTGCTGGGGCTGCTGCTGCTTTTGCCGATTGTGATGGTGACAGTATGATGATGATGGTGATGATGATGATGATGAGGACTGTGTCAATGTAAACGCAGCAGGTGGATGACCACGCAAGCAGCTATTGCAAGGACCTGATCTTCATGCAGCGGAGGCTCATCCAGGTGAATATAACTGTCCTGGCGACATACTGGCTGTGACAAGTAGATTTGAGCCTTGAGGAGGCAAGTTTGTTGGGGCCTCGCTTTGCAAACTCACTAGATCTGTCCGCAACTCTCCAGTTGTCTCCGTCACCTGTCCTTCACTCTGCTTCCGCATTAGAGCTGCTTTCCATCAGGCAGCTACATACAGGTTGTGCATGGATGCGACTAGTGCACAAGCTGACAGGTTCCTTGAATTTCTGCAGCGGCCTGATGACAAGGCCCAGGTACGCTGCATGGGTTCTTGCGTGGATACTCTTGAACAGTCTGGGGCCATGAACCTGAAGTTGCTGAGGTCCTGGAAGAGTTTCTTCGGGGCTTCCCTGTCAGGCTAAGCAGCGTTTGTTGCTGTCCGCTGGGAGTGGAACTCGCGATTCGCGATGTGATGGACAGTGATGGATCTCCAGATATCTCACGAGGAACAACGTACCGCCCGGATCGAGACAAGCAGACGAGCTTAGTGAGCAGCTTCAGGAGTGTGCAGACTCAAGATGAAGTGTAGCGACGGGTTGATGCAATCTCACATGCAGGACCTTGCAGACAGGCTGTGGGTGCATGCGAACTTACGCAAGCAGGAGGCTGTGGAGGTCCGCACGCGATGCCCAAAGCGTTGCAAGCATGCAGTGCCTCCCCGGGCCGCAGGAGCGTTACCATCAGATGACGCCACCCCGACGTGTATTCCGGCTACCACAATTTGAAGCCTCTTCGCTTTTGGCGGCCTGTTGAGAGTCTTCTGAGCGGGCCAGGGGTGGTTTCTGGGAAGAGAAAGCCGCAGCGCAACTCAGATTGGCGCACAAGCTCCAGGCTTATCGCCAGTATTTGGGGACTTCAAACGAGTGGCATGGATTTGGACAGTGGTGGTTTGAGGCTGCAACTTCAGACTTGACACTGCTGTCTCGATTCACCACTTAGCAAATGCATTCAAGCAGCCGACCAGTGGCAGCTGTCAGCGCGACTGTACACCTGCAGCCAAGTGCTTGAGCATGTCTGTACCGGTCTGGCACACGCACCGTGTTGCACCCCGATTTCGTGATGTTTGGAGACAATTTGTCCACAGCGCAATGTTTTGGAGTGTACGGTACGCAGACCCGCAAGATCACCACTGCCTAATCGGATCAGCCGGAGCTTGCCTACAGGGCCTACATGAGTAAAACTAGCCATGGCGACGGCGAAGCCTCTTCGCGGTCGTGCAGCAGCTGAAGCTGCCGCGGCCGCCAAGGCTTGTGGACGACCTTGGGCCTTGGGGCGTGCCAACGGGATGCTGCGAGTGTGAGTACTTCTCTCGCTGCTGCCGGAAGAAGGAACTGCACGTGCTGGCTTTCTTGGTTCAGGCGCGAGAGATCGCTGAGGCGGCATTGGCACAGCGAGATGCCAGACAAGGCGCTGCCCAACAAGGAACTGCCGCAGGTGCGCAGCCGTGCACAGATGCGAAGCTTAGGCCGAAGTGCTGTAGCCGTCAGGTTCCGAGATGGCCGAGAGGGCCGAGAGGGCAGAGAGCATGACAGCGCTTCAAGGGTCCGCGGCGGCCATCAGCCTGCACTTAGAGGATGCTGCGCAGCTGCGAGGAGGAAGCGGATTTTTCTCCCTCTCATATCCTCTCCAGTTCTTGACAGCGACAGCGACGATAGAGACGACAGGACCAGTGCCAATGGTGCCCTGGTATTCTGGCAGAGGTGGGGATGCCCCCGTGCTGGCCAAGGCCGCAGACTCGCCACTGTTACAAGGCTCACATTAAGCTGTGCTGGCGTAGAAGCGGTCCAGGTAGACCACGAGAAGGTCAGAAAAATGCGGGAGGAGTTCGAAGGAGCCACTGCGGAGTGACCCACATCCTTGCAGTTTAGAGTCAGATCCACAGGCCCAAATGCGCCAGAACCGACCGTCCCTCTGCTGCCTCCAAGCACAGGTACAAAGTGCTCTCCCAAGTGGCCCTCGGTGGCTTGAGCTCAGGGGAGGCTCTCCGACGCTTTCTTGGCCAAGCCTTCCACCGCGAATTCTGTTCAGGGAAAGTCGCTGCAGCAGCGCTTCAAAGAGCTCGAGCAAGCCTGGGGTCGCTGGCCGAGCTTTTGCATCGACATGCCGTACGCGAGCGTTGCATGGCTACAGAGCTTGAATCATCCAGGTGCTTTCCAGTGGAATCAGAAAAGCAGAAGCGATGCACCCTCCACCAGGGAGCAGGCGGGGGAGAGTTCCACTCCGCCTCTGCAGCACTGGCTCCATGTCAACGTAGGGTCGCCTCGGGTCGTGTCTTTCCTGGTTGCAGGTGCAAGCAGCCTCGGCAGCGCTGGCTCAGGCGCACGGACGCCAGCATCTCGGGAAGATCGGGTCTTCCCATCGTTTCATCCCGGGCAACCTTTGGCACACGTTGCACCGGTACCTCTGAGGCTCCAGCGGGACCGAAACCGGATTAGATCTGGAGTGAGATTCCCGGCTTCTCTGAGGATGTGTTATGTTCTGCTCGTAGCTGCTTCTCTGTCTCGGCATCTCTATGTGCTGAAAGGCAAGAAGTGGAAACGGTTCTTGCAGAGCTCTGGGACACCATTGAGCAGGGCCCTTAATTACTCAACTACGTACATTCGGATTACGGTGATCATGTCAGCTGGCAGAGCTGATTGCCTGAGAAGTCAAGAAGGATGAGTTTTTTTCAGGAAGCCGCCGAAGCAGAGGGATCAGGCACCTCCATCTGCCTCCAAAGCTAGTCGCGTCCTTTCAGGTCATTCGCTAAAGACGGGCTGTTGAGCTTCATCGCAGTGTGTCAGGCAGAGGAGGAGGTCAACCCAATCGCTGAAGAATTGGACAGGTTCGGACAGTATAATAGTGCTGAGTTTTGCCCAGCTGCCGCCATCGAAAGGTTAGAAGCCTTCATTGAGGCCAGAATACAGCAGGACGACGGAGTCCGACGTGAGCCGTACCCCGGAAGCCTAGCAGGGTAGAAGGGGCCGTTTGCCGAGGAGGAGCGTGCAGAGCAAGAAGGCCGCCGCGAGAAGAGCCGACCGAATATGGAGATTTGTGAAGCGCAAACGGAGGCGCAACATGAGTGCCTCCCAACACTCTCCCAACCCCCCGCACCTGCATCCCCGTGTCACCCGACCTCCATCTGCAGGCCTTGCAAGACATGTCGGCCAAAGGCTCAGCATTTCTGATGATGGCACTGATGGCACGGTTTTTGGGACCATGGGTTACTGAAAGAAGCCTATGCACTTAATGCTTAAACGATTCTGTAAGTCCGGGTGATCAGTTCAGGAATACGGCATTGTTAACCCTTCGCTGCTTTTTTCGGTACGTACCAGGTGATCCCTTTTAGCGCCGACGTCTAAACAACATCGTACAGCCAGCGCCTCCATATCTCATACTCATGATGAAATGCACATTCTGTGCCATCCAAGAGCCTGCAGAGGAAAAGCCCAAATGTTTTCGGAAATGAGGTACGCATGCATATGTGCCGCGTTTTAACGGGTTTCGTGCTCATTGCAAAGCGTATTGGCGTGGGCACACGACAGGTTCGACCGTACGTTACTAGTCCCCCTGCCACTATGCTGGCTATTGTCACAACTCTTACCTGCGCCTGCAATATACAAAAGAAGGAGACAGCACCGTCGGAATCATAAGAAATGTGGAGCCACCGTGTGTTCGGAAGAAATGAACTCATTTTTCATTCTCTGCGGTTGAGTCGGTAAACGACGCTCGCCTAGCAAGGTGAATTCAAACTGCATTTAATTGAAAGTGGGGTGGCGCAGAAATCTATTAACATAGTATGCGCTCACCGGACAGGGGTGGGATGTAACCAGCAAACGGAAAAGCTGTCCCAACCCCACAACAAAATCAAAGATGGCGCATGGAAGAATGCCTGAGAATGCACGGCAAACAAAGGATGCTTTGTATTCCGTAAACGGCGATCAAAGCATCAGACAACGTACGATCCACATATCGGACCCAAGACGTGCAGGATCTTCCTCATGGGTATCAGCTGAGGCCATTCCTACACGGTTACAATACCCAGGATGTCTAACACCTTCATCGAGGTGATATCGGGACATCAAACTCAACCATAGCATGAAGGCCATAGGACCTCCACACGCAAATCTAAAGCGCTCCAGCATCACTCACTTACATGATCAGGAACTGCTAAGCCAGGATAGCGGAGTCAGCGTCATTAGATCGAAGGCCTGACGAGCCTCTGTTCTGCTTGATGGCGCACTGCTGGAAAGCCGACGTCTTCATGCAGCCAGCCGCAAATTCCTGACGAGCCTCTGCTCTGCTTGATGCCTCTCAGCTGAAAAGCCGGCGTCTTCTTGATGGCAGCCATCACGGTGAAGTGTGCGAGCATTGTCCTCCAAACCATCTCCACACACATGTTCAACATGGCCACCTTGCGCAGCATGTCCTTCGAGCCCATAAACACCATCACATCGGGTGAAGTGCATGAGCTGCCAGGTTGCCGCTTGGTGGTGCAAACGCCCTCGCCTGACGAGCCTCTGCTCTGCTTGATGCCGTGCGGCCTGAAAGCCAGCGACTTCTTGAAGCCAGTCGCAGACTCCTTTATGGTGAGTGGTGCGAGCGAGTCCTCCCAGCCCATGTTCAATATGGCCACTCTGCACACCATGTCCTTCGAACCCGTAAACACCATCGCAACAGGTGAAGGGCATGAGCTGCTAGGTTGCCGCTTGGTGATCCATTCTCCCTCGCATGACGAGCCTCTGTTCTGCTTGATGCCGCGCAGCTGAAAAGCCGGCCTCTTCTTGAAGCCAGTTGCAAACTCATCTGCTGTGTGGTCTGCGAGCATGTCCTCCGAACGAATGCTCAACAAAGTCACCTTACACAGTGTGTCCTTTGCGTCCATGATCGCCATCATGTCGGGTGAATGCAAAACCTGAATGCCCAGCTTGTGCATGGCACACTTGCCGCTATGCACTGCTTGCCCGTAGCCGGCAGACGCACCCATGGCGGGTGCTGGGGCCTACAATATTCCTGCCCTGCGCAGGCGATTTGGGCCCTAAGAAATGAACTAATCGACTAGTGAAAGATCTGACTGGTGAGCATTCGTGATTATCGCTCCGTCACTGAGGTCAAGTTCCAATCAGCGTACCCAAGTGGCGTGGATGAGGGTACAGGCCAAGTGCAAGCACGATCACGGATTGTCAGCCTTTGCAGGGATCGGTAGCCTTGCGTGCTTCAATGCTCTCATTGCATACACAACATGTGTTGGAGAGTCATCCCCAAGTCAATTTCACAGTCTTGCGGCAGCTTTGTCAGGAGGCACGCCCATGACTTCCAATGCTGTGCCGGAAGAGTCGCCACAGTCCCAGGCAGCTTTCGATCGGCAGGAGTCGCCTTTGGCAGCAGTTTAAACAAATGACAAGACCAGAACCCGGGCAAGATGAAGTCGGTCTTCCCGAGAAGGCCCTGTGCAGTGCAAACTTGCAAAGCGGTAGGACATCGTGCTGTGGACCCCCCGGGGTGGAAATGGCCAGGGCTGTCAGGCATTCCAGGCGCACGTGTTCCGGTCAAGGATGCTGGCAACTGTTCAGGTCGTGCTGTGGTTCCGGAATCAATTCACGGTCGCCTTAAAGCATCTCAAAACTATGGATTCCAGTCCGGAGGCGTTGCAAGCCTTGACGGCCTGCCTCATTGGGCTTTTTCAGGTTTCAGGGAGTTCAGGAGGTACTGAGGATCGAAATTTGAGTTGAACTATGCGCGGCTACAGACGACCAGAGTTTATCTTGGACTTGCAGCCTGCTCTCGCACACATCGCTGTGATATAGAGTGTGCATGCAGATAGGAGGAAACTCAACTAGTGATCCATCGTAGCACCGAGAGCTCGATGTGAGAATGGCAAATGCAACATGAGGCCAGTGCTGCCGGCAGCAGTGCACTTCGGCTCGGAGGCAGCAGATGTTTTCTGAATCCTTGTGCTGTTTGCACGAGAATTCTGAGTGCTTCTTTCGAAGGTTCGGACGCTTGCCAGGGAGGTCCAGTCGGTCTCTGCTAAGCTTCACCAGGTCCCATGCCGACGCAGCACCCCGCGCATCGCGGGCTCGCACGCTCACCCCTGTTCCGCTGGCAGGAGCATGCGAGGGGCGGGCCGCCGAGAGGTCACGTCAGCTCGAACTGGATTGGAGATCTCGCTGGGGCCACTGCCCAAGATCGCCACAAGATTCCAGTTTGTCTGAAGTATGATTGTGCTGAATGCCCAGGGAAGTGGCCCGGCCTTGCACGAGCGAGACGGAGCGTGGGGCAGCGTTTTCATCCCTGCGAGGTGCACGCAGCGCGGCGAGTGTCGGGAAGAGCGAATAGTCGAAAACAAACTTAAGAGCAATCATACCACAAAACATAAGCACCAGGATCGGACCGTCACTGCACCCCCAACGCACACCCGCACTGGCTCACCAGGCGGCGACGAGGACATGTTAGCTGTAGAGCTGCAAGGAACCAAAAAAACCAGAAAGGTCAACAGCGCACACTTGTCCCGCCGGCCCTAAGCAGAATCCTTGGCTGTTCTGCTACTGCATCGCCAATCAGCAGACAGGAAATTTGGCTGCGTAATCGAGAGAGAACTATTCTTGCACCGGGAGAATACTATCGCTAGCTCACATTTCGCACCAGGACACGCGCAATCGAGAGGACACATTTTTGGACCAGGAATCACAATCGAGAGCACACATTTTTGCACATGAGAAGCACAGTCGAGAGCACGTGTTGCAGCACCAAGAGAAGCACAATTTCAGCACCAGGCAAAGGACAAGATTTCCTATGATTGTGAAAAAGTTAACACCAAATTTCCAAAGCACCAGCCTCAACAGACAACGAGCGGTCCCGGGTTTCCCTTTCAAAGCGTATGAGAACTCCGGCCGTGGTTCTGTGGTGAGGCTCTAGGGAACGTATGTCCTCATATCCTTACATTCTCGCTTGAACCAGGAGCCCAGTGGCCAGGCAGAGGCCGCGATATGGGCACCTGCAATGATCTGATGGAGTCTTGTTGAGCTGCCATTTGAACTGGCTTGGCATGCCCGATTGGGACTTCTCGGTGTACATACTTCGCAAAGCAGCTGCTGAAAGATTCGGAGCTGAACCACTCGCTGTCGAATGACAGCCTTTTGGCTACAATCCATTCCTGACTTGTGCGAAGACGATGAGTCTAGACCTGCTTTTGTTTGCAATGAGCCTGGTCCAATGGCCCGTTCTGGCGCACATGCCAGGCACTGGAGCTGGCCAGGTTCAAAGTGGCCGCTGCCGTTTTGAGGTGGACATACTGCCAAGTTGACCAGGCACAGCATGGTTCAGTGGGGTTTCGGCGCAAGCAGGAAGCTTAAGTCTCTCTCCAAGATCAAGGAGTCCTCTCCTACCTGGTGCACGATTCTGCAGTAGGGTCTCCACAGATCTTTTCAGATTCATTCGTCGGAGCTCTGATATCCAACAGCCACGTTGAGCAGCACAACTGCACTTGACCACACAGCTCATTGGGCTCAGTTGTTGAGCTCAGAAAGATGGTTGAGCCTCCATGCATTAAAATTCCTGAACTCCAGATTTCTGGTTTCCTCATTTCGCTTTCGCAGCTCAGCCTTTGCAGATGAAGCATAGACGCGGCTGGCACAGGATCTGAATTGCTTCGACACATCTGCCGTGGAGCCACCTCCTGCGGACCTGTCCTCCCTCCAGGCGGTGTCATTTCGATAAGTCTGAGCCAGAAGCAACCTGGGGAAGTCAAGGATCTTGCGACCTGGCTTGATGAATCCGCAGAGCGTGCGGCCCGCAGACTTTGCCGATGTGGCAGCTAATGGCTACACATCTACACCACACTGGCACCACTTTGCTCCAGGCTTTGGCAGTGCCGAGCCGTCGGGTGTGGAAGAAGAGGTGGCGCAAGCTGAGAATGAACTGCCTCAAGCGGACTCCCTGCCAGAAGAGGCCTCTCCTGGTGCATCTGAGTCGGGGTTTGCGGGGAAAAAATCATGGCCTGCTTTGGAGGACAGCTCATTGCTGGAGGCTCTGGGGACTACTAGTAGCTTCGGCTGATCCTTCGCCCTAGTGAGCTTCAGAGTTCAGGCATCTGCCAGCCAGATTGTGGAAGCCAGCAGTGAAACTTCCGAGCTCGTTGCAGCCCTCAAAGGCCTTCTGTCACTTGTGGCAGTGCACGCATGAGAGCGCATTCATGCTGCCTAACATTCCATTGCCGCTTTGCAGCTGAACGACACGGCCTGGTATCACGGTGTCGCTGCATTGCAGCCGGCAGCCCAGCCACGTGCAAGACGAGCCCGCTTTGTTCCTGTCTCTCTCTCTGTCTGTCTCTCTCTCTCTCTCTCTTTTTGTCTCCATCTCTTTCTCTCTCTGCTTAGCTCGCGCTGTTCTGCAAACTGAAAGCAGGCCTGGACGTATGCCCGGCTAGAGACCATGCACCAGCAACATGAGGAGGCACTGGCTTAACCCGTGCCCGGGGCCCCGTTGAGAGAAGATCTTGAATAGTCTCCGACAGGTCTTTGCTCGAATGGACGATTGGATCAAGGACCGTGTCAAGGAGGAGAACGAAGCAATCAAGGCATGCGCGCGCTGTGCCTTGAGTGCATGCCTTCTCCCACGTGTGGTCTTTGACATCCTGCAGGCGACAGACACCTTACTTCGCTCGGGAAGGTGGGAGGACGAGGCTGTTGGATTCGACCACAATGTTCGTAACGGTGCTTGTCATGACGTGCACACGCGATGTCACTGAGTGTGCAACAGGAGCCAGTTTTCATGACAACGAGAAGCATGCGAAGGTCCCAGACTACTACGATGAAGGCGATTCCACAGTCAGGTACCGAAGCTTCAGCTAAGTGGGGCCGTTCCGGTTTCTGCTTCTGCATGAGGGGGTGGTACCAGAATAAGACTTGGCAGAGATTGGGTACATACCAGGCCAAGGGCCCCATGAATCCCGGGCAAGGCTTGTCTGTTGGTATCTCTTTGTAGGCGGCGTGGCCCAAAACGCCTGAGACCTCAAGACTGAGACCATAAATTTGTGACCCCTCGCGCAGCCTGCGCTGACTGGGGCAGCCGGTAAAAGGCGGCGAGATGTCCTCAAGGCCGGGAAGTTCTGTCACTTGGACAGCTGTTGCTGTATGTTGCTGGTAGCGTTACGACGACAGGTCATCATCGCGAAAACCTTGGACGTGGATGTGTACATTCCTCAAAAGCTTGAGGCGCGGCCCACAGCGTCTATCGGCCAAGTCCAGCCGTGGCATGCGCGCAGGTGTCGGAAGCACCGGTGCCGGTGCCAACCAGACCCTCAACATCAAATTCTCAAGGTGAGCAGTGGCAGCCACGCTTAAACCCAGCTCATCTCCTTTCCCGTTGCAGCTGTGGGATCCCGGCCGTCAACCACAAAGCCCCTACGGCCAGCCCAGAGCTCGAGCAACTCGAGATTTTGTTGAGGGGAGGTGGTGACTCAGAGTAGCTCCTGCAGACGACAACTTCCCAGGTCTTCCCCGAGAGGTGGTCCCAGGACTGCCAGAAGTCTCCCGCATCTGCACGAGTTTCTTTTACTTGAGTGCGTCAGGACATGCTCTGGGGGCTTCTCACAAGACTGGCAGATCTCAGTGGGGCCGTTTGTTCGGCTGAGCAGCTGCTGCAGGTTGGATAGCTCTTTCTTGGGTGTTCCGACAGCAGCTGCCACTTTGAAGGCGCTGCTCGAGCGGCGACATTGTGCCTTAGGTTTCAACAACGAGCAGGCGCATCGCAGAAAATAGTAGTCAGCCACACAAAGTAGCTGCTGAGTAGCTTTGGAAGCCAGGTGATACCTGAGTCGTGGGTCATGCGGCCATTAGTTCCGGCCCTGAACATGTGCCAAGATTGATGGCCGTGCCGCCTTGCCAGCACTCCTGAGGTGGTCTACAAACTTCTGTGCGACTCGATAGTGGAGCCGGTTCCGCGCTTGAAGTGCCTTTCGCAGAGGAGCTGTGTGATGTGGGGACAATCTCGGCCGTGTGTGCGCAAGGCATGGGGCGCCACTGGTGTTGATGTGACAGAGTTCCTCTTGGTGCCCTCCCCGTTGTCTTCAAAGCATTCTCCGCAAGAACGATAGGTTCGACCCTGCTCGCTGCCGCAGTCACAGCTTCAAATCCTTTCAGTTGCTGCACAGACATGCTCCACATAGCTCTGCCCCTTTTGCATGGTAAGCTTGGGTAGTCCACCTGAGGGAGCCAACTGCCAGCCAGAATCAGAACATCTGCTTTGAGCTGTCTAGGAGTCTAGGGCTCTCAGTGCGATGGCCCAGCAGCGCAAGGAGGTTTGCTTGGAGGCCAGGCCAGACCCTCTCTGCCGTCCGAGCTCGGGCTCCGCATTGCCCGCGTTTGGCTCTTGGCCCTCTTAGGAGGACTTTCAGAGTGCCACCTTCGAGCTCGAGGCCGGCCTCAGTGATGAGGACCGGCTGCGACTCACGCGAGGCCAGGCAAAACGTCGCGAAGACTGTCGCGTTTTTTCCCTTCGAAGTGCTTTCGCAGTTCGGCCGAGGTATGGCGGAAGCTTCCCAGCTCATGAAAGATGGCCTCACCTTTGATGAGGCTGCCCAAAATCGGGGTTTCTCGTAACCAAACTTGCTGACTTGCTGTCATGCCAGGCTCGACTCAAAATAGTCACTCAGCGCATGGCGTCTGCCTGGCTTGTGACGCTGTCACATCACTGCCGCGAGAGTTCCGCTCTGACCCTCGCTGAGCCTGAAAAATTTTCCCAGCCCTTGGCCTGGGCCTTCTGCCACTCGCCAGGCAGATGGGGGTAGACTCCTCGGGCATGCCGACCGACCCGAAAGCCTTCACTTTTGAAAAGGCAATGGCTTCATCATGGCCACCCTGCCAGTTTCGAGTAGTCATGTTGCTGATCGTGCTCACATGCCTTACGAAATGCAAGCTGACATGGTTTAAGGTTGATGCTTTTTTGATATTGCCTCGTCGTTTATGAGCTCGATGATGTCGCAGGTCAGCAATGTAGGCGGCCGCAGTACCGACAGCGGCAGCCACCCGTGCAGCAAGAAAGGCATCCTCTGCGTATTGCACAGTGCAAAAGCCTTCATACTCTCAGGCTCCGCTTCCTGGCGATCGACCGGTGCCAGGCTGGGAATCGGAACACGTAGCAACCACCCACCTCGCAGTTCGTGGCTTGAGGCGTGGTTTCCAGTCTGTGATGACACCTCCAGCCATCTCGGCATCGGCGTGCCGGTCTCTGTTGGCGAGCACGAACCCAGTCTGTCGTCAAGACCAGCCCCTCCGAGGTCTCGTATGTTTCCAGTGTTCGAGCGTGGCGATGATACTTCTGGTGCGCTGGTCCCGCTTGATGACGGGCTTCGTCTCATTGTGTTGGAACGCAAACGCGCGACGTGCGTATGCAGGTGACCGCCGGCCCTTCCTGTCAGGGTGCGCCCCTTCTTCACGAAATCAGACGTTGTGCCACGCCTGCTTGTATTGCTGGAAGGCCGCTGCTCGTGGCCTGCAGAGCTCTGAAGTCACTGAAACCAGTCGTGTGCGGCTCCAAGACTTCAAAGCCGCAGTGCTCTGGAAGTCTCTCCCTAGCCGAGGCGGAGTGCCCTGCTTTTCCGGGTTCCGGCGCCTGCATATACACATGGCATCACATGGCAATTATGGCTCATGGCTCTGCCAAATTACTCAATTGTCGTGAGATGGGATGTGAGGCTGTGCCCCTCATCGTGGCTGCCGCCGTGATCATCTTGCTTCGTCTGCTTCAGATCGGATGGACCAGGGATCCTGGCTTGCCGGCCTTGTGCCCTGGGCTCGCTTAGTGGCTGATGTTGCTGCAGCTGCTGCTGACAACAGTGATGAACTCAATCCACACTCCTCATTTTCCAGAGCTTGCCTGCACAGTGAGCATCACAGCTTGTGGCAGGCTGGTCCAAGAGGATGTTACAGACGTGGGAAGCTCAGGGAGGAAGAAGCGCGACAAAGCCCAATCCAAGTCTTTGCGCGAGGTTGGGAAGGCTTTCGAGGACCCTCGATAACCGAGAGCCACGAGGCTGCCTCCCCACTTGAGCCCGGAGTGTCCTCACAACCGCTTTCTCTGCTGCCTCTGCTGCATCTGGAGCCTTTCTTATCGCTGCCTGTGCAGTGAGCACCTGCCCCATGCTCGGCAGCAGACTACAAGCCAACGCCTACGTTACTTGTGGAGAAAGCCTTGTAAGTAGGAGAGACTGAGAATCTCCGCAATGTCAGTTTCCTCAGTCTTCGCAGCCTCGCACCTGGCACGTCACTCGATTGGCTCATGCAGGATGGAAAAAACAAACAACTTTGAGCTAGCTCTTTTCAGACAGCACTCGCAGCTTTTGGGCAGGCGCTTCTGCCGGCTGTCCGAGCCGATCAACTGAGTTGCGACTGAGACCCCCGTGAATTGTGGAGCGGATCCCGGCGGAGATGTGGAAGCCCGCGACTACTAAGAACCGGAAAGCCAGTTGCGCCGAATAACGAGGTCTCATATGAATAATCAAGTCTGCACCGAAACATCAAGTCGTGGTGTCCTCAAGTGGAGGGAAAGTGGACTAGTGCTTCAACTTATCATCTGCTATCGCACTTCCTGATGACAAGCCCTCCAATCTCGCGTTGTGGTTGCATGTACAGGCTGCAACTGTCCGTCTATCGCAGTGTCATGTGCAGAAGCTGCAGGGATGTACTACAGTACAGAACTGTGGGGACCATTCGCAAAAGGCAGTCGCCGGACATAGCACAAACCGCATTTGTTGTGCTTGGGATGATCCAGCACAGGTGCTGTCACATCACGAGAATTCCGTTCCATGGCCCACACCGGAGGCCTCAAGGGAATTGCAGAGCTGATAGTCCAAAGACGCTCGGAGCTCCGCACGGGCCCTGCAGGCTTTAGAAGAGACGCGCGCCTTCCTTCAGTCCGAGGCGGATCGGATCCTGTCTGAACACAGGGCATTCGGGCATTCCCCCTGAAGCCTTTATCCTTTCTTTGCCCTCTGCAGGAGTCCCCGCTGGATCAGGACGTGTTGGCCTCGTGACGCCCCTCGAGTCGAGGCAGATGGTGTTCATCGCCAGCATGAGTGGAGCGTGGAGCAGGTACCCCGATGTTCCGATATCGGAGGTGGGTGCTGCGAGAAGTGCCGGGCTTTCGGATTTCGGATGCAGACCTGCTGTTGAAAGGAGTTGTTTTGCCAACTTCCTCTGTGGTCGCTAGCTCATTCGTTGCTTGCCACTGCTGGTATTATGTACTGCAGAAGAAGATGGGCATGGGTTTCAGTTTGAGGCCAGAGACTTGCCAGCCGGAGCTTCGAAGGTGGATCTTCCAGGCTCAGACTCAGAATCCACACAGTCGGTCGTCGGCCACCTCTACTATAGATGACGTTAGAGCCCGGACGGAAGGTACTGGCCACCTTTGCAGATCAGGCTTTGGCCTTGCAACTTGTAACACATGCCATCATGATGGCCTGCGTGCCGACGCAGCGGCCTCTGCACGCCAAGGAGCAAGTACGACTTCCAGCGAAGCCTTCGCGCCGACAACTTACTCAGTGCATTGCCAGACCCGTTCCAGGCATCGGGCGGTTTTGAGCTCAGGTCGACCAGAGGATCCGAGCGAGTTCACGATTACAGCGAGGAGGCACGGCGATTCTCGCCTGAGGGTGCCGGCGGCGAGCTGCAGGTTGAGTCAGCACGCGGCGGAAATGTCTGAAAGCAATCGCAGGATCTTCGGTTACTTTGCTCTGGGCCACAGCCCTGCAGAAAGCTTCAGCAGGCTTTGCAGGCACAACCCTTAGTTCTCGCCCTCTCGGCCCTACGGCCCTACTTCATTGACTTTGGACTGCAAAAAAACTCATGCAGGCTTCTGCTCCCTCGTGAAGCACTAGCTGCCGAGGAAGAGCCTGCGCAGGTTTTAGTGAAGGACGCCGCAGGGGCACTTTCGCTGTTCGGTTCGGGTATCATGCAAATGTGTCTCGTAAAGCAGATGACTCGCGCGACAGAGAGCCAACCACATCGTTGCCCAAAGCATGTCTTGTGTCACAGACAGGATCTGTGGACGCTGCTTCACAGCCAGCGCAGTCGACCTTCCGGCCTTATCGTGCTCCCGACAGTTGTGAAAGTGCTGCAAGCTTTCACCGTGACCGGCCTTCCATGTTGAAGTTCAACGAAGGCACCCGTTCCTGACTTGGCCATCTTCTGCAACAACCTGCTGGAGGAGGAACAGAACAGAAGAGCCCTCAGGCAGTCAACGCTGGCACCGTGCAGCCCGGAGGCCAAAGCCGAGACGGCCGCGGCCGCCGCCCCAAAAGGGAAGGCGGCCCCGAAGCCCAAGGTCCGTGTCAATTATCGTCCCTGCGGTGCATGCCATGCACACTTTATTACAATGGCAGGGGAAGGCCAAGCAAGAGGTCGAGGCTGTGGCTTGCAGCGATTGAGACTCTTCTTCGCATCCAAACTGTCCGTAGGAAGAAGTGGAACCGCCGCCGCTCCCCGAAGAAGCCACAGTGGTCCGTGTCTCATGCTGGCCTTGTTTTTATGACAGTGTGCAGCAGCTGTTTGCCAAAGGCATTCTCAGAAAAGGTACTTCTGCAACGCAAGACGGCAATGGCCCCGGAAACGAGCTTCCAAGCTGTTGGCAAAAGAGAAGGAAGCGCGGCTTGAGGTTCTCCGTGCCTTCTGCAGTCACGGCGGGCTTCTCTGTCGCCGCCGTGGTCTTGAAGTGCTGTTCCCGACTGCAGGCAAGCGGCAAGCCCCGTCGGCAATTGTTCTTTGGAAGCGCACCCTGAGCGCCTCCGAAGGTTCCGGCTGGTCACTTGCGACGTCTTCGCAGGCCTGCCATGCCGGCAGTTTCTTCGCAGCATGAGAGCGGCAGAGGTTGCAGTTGCTTCCCTGCATCCAACCCGTCACTTCGCCTGCTTCCCAAGAGAGGAGGAGATACTAGGGGAACAAGAGAGGCGGTCACAATGCAAAGCACATCGCTTGGAGAGATGGAGACAAGTCTTAAGAGCTTCATCCGCCGCATGATCCAGCGGAAAGGGGAATCACGATTCAACTGAGATTTCTGAAAGGGGCACCACACGTGTGATGAAAGAGTCATAATCTAAATCGTTGTCTCAAACTGCGACCATTAGGGAGGCCACTCCGTCAACAGGTGAGGCCTCCTGGAAAACCCTTGGACCAACCAAAGCGGAAGTTTTGAAATCGTTGCTGGCTGCAGAAGGGCGAGTGAGAAGGGCTGAATGGCGCGCCCGCTTGCAGGCTGCGGCTCTTCAGGAGCTGCAGTCCTTGGTGCCCGAAGCCACGGCCGAAGAGGACGTCGCCTAAGGATCAGCCGAGAGTGCGGTGATGTGGAGCCTCCAGGAGGAAGCCCCGGCCTGAACGGGCGGTCTCACCCGATCGTCCCCGAACAAATGCGGCCCAGTTCCGAAGAATTAGTAAGGTTGAAACCGCACGCGCAGAACAGTACTCAGTGTCTTTTGTTGGCAGATGCTTCCTGTCGATGGTTTCACACCCGCTCTTGGAGAATCACCACAAGGTGCTCCAGAAATGCAGCGCGGAAAAGCCGACTCTGGAAGTTGCAGCCGTCTTCGTCTTTGTACCTTTGGAGAAGATCATGGCTCTGGAAGTCGGGGGACGGAGAACCGGCCTTTGCCTTCTCCTGAGCCACTGGCTCCCATGATCCCTAACATCTCCGTCACCTTTGCTGCTGCAGTGCCGCGGGCCTGGCCTTTTTCTGCGTGGTTCCCGAAGTGAAAGAGACTCCGGTCCGGGCCTTTCCCAGTCCCCCAGGCGTGCAGCGCCATGCGTGGCACCGGGCTCCAGCCTAAGAGCTAGCCGAGGCTGCGGGGTGCTTTGATGCGTGGTACGCCACGCCTCCAGGACGACCTTCTTTGATGTGACCTGACAGGCAGACTTGGCATCGGCAGCGGAAGTATGATGCTCGGGATTCCGTTGAGAGAGAGTCATGTCGTAGTCAACGTTGAGTTTCTGCTCAGGATGTGCGGCCAAAGCTGTCGCCGCCGTCTTCCACGAAGTCGGCAAACCTATGGAGCTTCGAGAGGCAAAATGCCCTCCGCCATGAGATCGCAAGAGCATGTTCTCCGTGTCAGATCCCTCTTCCGGAACGGCTAAATGAGGGCGAGCTTCTCGTTCGGATGGAGGCAGCAGAGAGCAGAGCGAGATTTGGGGACAAGCACTCCAGCTTGAGCTGTCAGGTTGCTACAATTTGTGGTAGTGATCTGCACACTGTCGGTAACTTAGACACTGTAATGTAGTCAATGGATACATGAAAATGACTACATGGTCGATGGAAGACGGAAGCAAGGTCAGTGGCAAAAGACAGGAGCCGATGCCGTTGGTCCTTGGGCACGAAGGCGCTATACCGACATGAATTGGACACCTTGCACAATGTGGCTTCTTCAGGTGTCGGCGTCATCGAAAGGATCGGCAGTGACATTTTCAGCGGCAATCGTCCGAGGCCGGACACTTCCGTCTGCGAGTCCTGCGCAAGGCAATGTGAGGTTAACGTGCTTTCGGGCGAGGCATCGTGGCTGGAAACTCCAGGAGGGCGACAGGATCACATTCAGTGTCGCAGACTCCTGCGGCATGTGTCCAGAATGCACGCTCCACAAGCTTGGTGCTCGGACATCTAACTAAAAGGCATCGTAAACAATACGTTGCGAATGAGCTTTTAAAGTTTGTTGAATGAGGCTGCCGCAAAAGTGCGTGTCCCTGATGAAGTCCGGCTGCCTGGCTCTTCGAGAAAGCTTAGGTGCGCTTGACACGTTGCCAGGTATGGGCATGCACGCATGTCGGAAGGAACCGGCCTCAATGGCACGTGACCCGTCGACTTGCCGAGGTAGTGCATTCAAGGCACAGGTTTCGTTAGTCGTCACGAGGTACGCGACCCACGTTCTGCTTCGCCCGGGGACAGTTTCAGCTTCGTTGCAAGATCCTGTCAACTTGGCTGAGCGGATTCAAACTGATTGAAATTGTTCTCAAGCCGAGAGGACCCATGCTGTGAAGCTTCCTAGCACGCTCAGCTCGCGTGCTTGCAGCTTGGACGCCTCTGCAGTCGGCGTGCGTGAACAGTCAGTGAAGTTGATCACTTCGTCATGTGTCACAGCCCATCACTGAGGTCTGTTCCCCTGCAAACTGTGCTCTTGCCACCGTCGCACACTTACACGGTCTTCACGCGGCACCTGATGTCCCAGATGTAAGGGATGTGGCTTGCACGTTGCCGTCAAGGTGCATCACGAGCAAGACCAAATTCTGCAATGTGTCCATCAGGTTGTCAACGCATTGGACATGGCGAGGCTTCCCAGGCCACAGCGAACGATCCATTGTTGGGAATGCTGTCGTCTCGACCAGAAGCTGTGTCCACTTATCGTATGCCTTGACAAGGTACGGCTCCAACAAGAGCGCTGTAGTGCAAGGATTCTGCTGCTGTCCTGCTGCTCAGAAGATTGAGAAGCCGTGTGCCGCCAACAGGAGTGGGGCTTCTTGGCATCTACGCCGTTGCGTGGTTGAAGAAGCGGGTGGGCATGGACAGGCGCATGCTGAGCTAGCAAAACATGGATTACAGTTTTTTTGCTACGCTTGGGGGAAGGACGTGCAAGCAAGTGTTGTCTACCCCATGCCAAGCTGAAAGAAACGCCAGAAAGTCCAGGGTCTGAGTCGGCTGGCCTCTGCATCCTTTTCAGCCGCACCAAGCCCAGCCCAGGAAAGCCTCGAAAGCATCATAGGTAGGTTAAACTCATTATGCTATAACGCACGTCTTTCTGAGAAGCGAAGCGGCGAAGCATGGTCAGAAGCAATGCTTCCACATGCCCTGTTCAGTGTCTTCTGCCTCGATATGGACTCGGAGCGCCTGAAGACGGCCGAGCAGTTCGACCCCTCAGCCGAGACATGCAAAGAGCCCTCAGCCGACCGTGCCGATCTGCTGATCTGCGCGAGGTTCGGGGGCATCCCGCTGCTGGTCACAGGTGGGGAGGAGGCAGGTGAACGCCGTTTTCGGGCTTCCATACCTGAGCCATCGCATGGCGGCAGGAATTCTGGGAGCGTCAGCGCTTTATACACAAGCACTACCCACACGGAGTGGATGTTGCTGTTGAGATGACCGGGGCCAAAAATGTGATCCACGAGGCTCCTGTACTGTGTTGGCTGAGAAGACTTCATATCCTGGTGATGCACCAGGGTGTGCAGCTTCTGCGCAATGGCGGGCACTATTCCTTTGCAGGTATGGTCAGCATGCTCAGTCTGCTTGCTGCACACGTGCAAGCACGAGCCTGGGCATTTCATGGCGCGCCGCTGCGGAAGGTACATCCTGATTCGCAGCTTTCCTCACTCACTGGAGAGACCATCATCAGGAAGGTGTGGAAATTTGTGCAGAGGCTTCGTCAACGGGTGATTTTTTATCGCGTGATTTCCAGTGCCTCACAATCCGCGGGGTGCACAACTACACCCCATGGAACCTCGAGGAAGCGGCCGGCAACCCGGGCACGACCTCGCGAGTAGGGCCACAATGCCACGCGAACGAGAGTCAGGTGAAGTTCTTAGACGAGCAGCGCGAGGACAGCCTGGATTATAAGAATCTCTACCTGATCTATCTTAGAAGATGGTTGTGGATGTCAATGTTGCAGGAGCTTCCGCTGGAATCTGTTCTCTCGCCCACGAGTCGTCTCCCAACTTCGCGGGCGGTCAAGATGCTGAGATTTTCAATCGTTTGCTGAGGCTACGCCTTGTCGAACATAAACGATGCCATCAAAGAGGCTGAAAGCTTTCCCAAGCTTCGAGCTAGCGCAACATGGTTTTCGCCTGTCGTGAGCTGCGAGGCTTTCTCCGGCAGGTACTGCCGTGTGGTGGTCTTGCCAACATCGTTTAACCGATGGCACAGCCGGACGCAGCAGCAGCAGACAGCAGCCTCAGACTGTGTGCCAGGTGAATTGCCAAGACGTGTTTTGAAGTGAAAGGCACAGGTTTCACCTTCGGTGCCCTTTTGACACCGCGGGATAACGAGTCTTGACAGTCTTGGATCATGGCTAATGATTGCCGCGGCAGTCGTGTTCCGCCGCTAAGCACTTGTACATACTCGCGGCCAAAGAAGACTCCCTGAAGTCGATAGCTGCGCAGTCCGTGCGGACAGTGTGCGAGTGTGGGCATCTGCCGAACTGGCTTCCCAAGATCTTGTCCGTCGCGATTAGATGGAAGAGAGGGTGAAGCTTCAGATCATTTTGGCCACTTTTTGCGTACGTGGACGGTGACTCAGTTGTCCTGCACCGGGTTGGCAACATGATGCAGCATGTGTTGGCTCAAAAAAACACCGAAGATCGAAGGGTTTTGACCAATCATGGACAGTTTCGATTCGCAGTTCAAGACTTCAAGATGTATCAAGCACACATCAACATCCTTTTACATTGAATTCTGGCATGTGGTCGTGGCAGGCCTGGTAGGAGTTTCGGAAGTTCCGCCATGTAGTGGCGGCATGGAAAGGTGGACTTGCGCAAGCTGCGCAGATGAGCCATGGCTTTACAGAGATGGCACCTAGAAGACTCGGACTCCGGAGGAGACTGGCTCTTCTTCTCCTGGTGCAGGCCTCGGGTAGCAATCGATTTCGAGGTCTACAAGCAGCCACCTCGACGACGTTTACAACCACCAAAACTGTCGATCCCTGTCCATCTGCGACCACTGCATGCGAATGTGCTGCTGGAGAAATTTGTGTCTGGAAGCCTTATGCACAGGGAGGAGGCGTATGCGAGAACGTTGGCACCAAGGGCCACATTGACTGTTTCCTATGTGCACAGCAGGCACATTGTGCCACCATCACCTGCCCCGGCATTGCCAGCCCTTGTTCATGCGCAGCATCCGCTGGTTGCGCTTGGGATGATGCGGCAAGCGGATGTGTGAGCTCCCTACTCTCCTCCACCTCTTGCACTGCCTGCCCGACACAAGCAGGATGTGATGTTGACCCGCCGCTTCTTGCAAGCTACTACCCACAGCGGGGAGGTGTGGCTCTATCCCAATCGGCATGAGGGGGGGACGTGCGGGTCAGTAGTTGCTCTTCTGCTCTGTTGTCCCAAGACACCACAACGCAGGCTCCCACAGCAGCGGTGCCGACCTCCGAGTTGCCGCTGGCTTAGCAGTGTCTTCCGTGCAGTACTTCGGTACTTGCTGGCATCTTGCAAGGTCCTGCGCTTCACCAAGGGCGTTAAATGGTGCAGCGGCTCTTCCACGACGGACGCTGTGAGTTTCTGGTGTGCTGGAAGTGCTGCTCAGCAGCCCAGTCTGCCTACTTTCTGCTGAGTATGTCTGTGCCTGCCGGGATAACCTCTGAGAAGCGAAAGCTTGTTCCCGAGTCCGGAGTCTTCTCAGCGCGACTT